TATTTTCAAGATTGTCTCTTTATATCATCGATGTATTTATGATGGATTATAAAGAAAAACGCATGTTTGAAGAAACTAGGTATAAATTCAAGCTTATTTAATGACTGATCCAGGGTACTATGAAATAAATGTTATTAAGATTTACTGTAGGATTGAGCAATAGGCTTAGCTTAGTTTTGCCAGATTAATTGTGAGTTCAGTGCCAAGATCCTAGTAAAAAAAATAGGTAATTATTAGAGCTATACATTCCAAATAAGCATACAGTTCTCGATCTGGTAAATTGAAGGTGATGCAGCTCTGAGTGTCCTCTCCGAACGTCAGGTAACCAAAGAATCCAAGAGCCAAATTAAGAGAAACAACGACGATCATGCCAACACAGATCACACCACTTGGGCCGTCAAATGCTTCAGGCATGGCCATCTTGCTTTTGATAGGAAGAACCTAGGACGAAAATCCATAGGAATAATGTAGTAAATCTATGTTAAAATTAGCAGTATTTTAAATATTTGTTAATATTTAATATTTTAAAAAACAATAAAAACTTTCTGATTTTGAATGAAATGTGTTGCCTAACATATATTCTAGCAAACAGCCAAAATAGGCCAGATATGAGATATCTCAGAATATCAAAGTCTTTAAATTAAAAAGTAACAAGGCAAAAGCCTACGATTGAAAGACTATAAATTGTTGAACGATAAATGTACTCAAGATTATCTCATACAGAAAAATCAAGAGTGAAATTTTTTAGCTCTAGCATAATGGAGATAGATATAAGAATGGAGACAAACTTAGGAGTTCTATATCGAAGTGAAGGGAGACGACAAAGTATAATATAAATTAGGAAACTTTAGGAGAGAAAATGAATTAACCCGGTTTTCGCAACTTGGTCTTGTCAGGGCGACTTAGTTGGACGCACCTTTGTAAATTCGGCTGCCATAGTAGTAATCATAATTCCCAGCGTCAGACCGTGGACTTGGTACATTCTCAGAGGTTTCTCCGACATCGTGGTCGGCATCGTCAGTGAGTCTTGCCATTCTCAGCACTAAACTACAGCCCGTCAAAGAGACAAGTGAAGTCAATCCCTTGACAAACTTTGTGTCGAAGCTATCACTTTTCTTTCTGCTTGACCTAGCTATCTATTTCTTACTCTCTTATATCACAACTTCTGACTTGCTTACATTCCACTCATTAAAAGGTGTCCTTTTTTGGCAATTTTAATGTAGCCTCATTATAATTGCTATTAACCTTGGCCCTCTCTTTCGATCGGCTAATCCGACTAAGAACTCCTATCCGATCTCCCTTATAGTTGTGTAAATCCGTTCCTTATCTTTATGGTTGACTGATTTCACTCGATTTCAGTCCCAGTGTACGTTTTACTCCGAGCGCTATTTCTCAAACCCTTAAAAGCACACACACCGCCGTCTCACCGAGCAGAGGGCCTAGGCTATGAGTGCCATGCTTGCAGATATTAGGCATTGTCGTAACGGGTCATCTCCTTGATTAAACCCAAGCTACCTAAGCAAACTATGGAGGCCTGCAACATCTCGAGTGGATTTCTAGTGCATTTTTGTGACGGGCGTGAGTATCCGTCCCCTTAGTCCGTGGCCGCCAGGCCCCCAAAGTTGTACTAGTTCCTTCGAGCAGATGTCATTCACTGAGAAAGACTTCGCCTGATTTCCGAAATAGAAAAGAAAATTCACAAACTGGAGGAAAATCCTAATTATGACGATGGATTTAGTTTAATGAGTTTGTAAAGATTTTTATTTATCCATGGCAAAGTTTCATTGATATCGGAAAATGCTGATAGGTAATCTAAATTCATTTCACCTCAATAAAAACTCCTCAGCTATAAACAGAATTTGCTCAACATGCTAAGATAATTAGTTATCCGAATAAATGAAAAGACCTATCCGGTCAAAACTAGGAACCAGTGAAAGAAAATAAAAAGTATTTTCTGTAAAAAAAATACGGTGCAAGAATGACTCCTCGAATGACTAACCTATTTGCCAGAGCGAATAGTATCTATTTACTCGTTTCGAATAAATAAACCAATCTTACCAATATTTTTCTAAGCACGT